GTAGCAATAATCATATACTTTTTTTTAGCAGAGTCGGTAATGTTGAAGGTGGGATTAAAACGTAATACAAATGAATGAATAATCAATGTCAATAAGGTTTATTGATGTAACAAGATATTGAATAAATAACATAAAAAGTATTTGAGTTCACTACTAAATATTGATATTAATGAATTGAAGATAGCAAATAATCAATAGTCAATCACCTCAACAGTCGTCTACCGTATAAGTAACGATCTATCCACTTAGTTTTCCTTTTTCTGTATTTAAGAAAATAATTAGAATGTCGTTTTTAGAAGATTTGTAAAGTGATTGAACTTTTTATGTGTTGTCTTCGTTGGAAAAACGAAAATTAAAACAAAAACGCTTCCGTACGCACTGCATTGTAACATGATCTTGTAAACATATAGAATGAAGGTCGACAGAGTATTGTTGCAAATGAGATCAAGTCTTATTAATCCATTTTTGGTAGCTATCTATCTTCCTCCAACATCATAATACAATACTGAATAGTTTATTGCAGTCACTCCACTACATACGTAACACAATCTCTAGATTTCACATGTTTTTCAATAATTTGTCTTGCGATCTTTTTTTATCGAGGAGGATTTAAGAATATATTTCTATCTTGTGGGTGTAGGTCAGTGCTGCCAACTGTCATAGTCAGAAAACCAGAAATCTAATGTTAAAATCCGGAAAATTCCGGAAACTTTTTTTGTTAAACCCGGAAAGGTTCTTAACAGTTAATTTCTGTCGCCTAAATTCAGTTTCTCTAAATCTTGTTCTCAATTATACCACTTATTATTTCAAAAAACACATGTTTCAATATATCAAGAGAAAATCAACATCAAAATTCAGAATATAATAAACTAAATATATAAGAAGTATAAGTCACTGAGCCGTTGTCAAATAAAAATTTCTTTTTGAGTATTAACAGATAAATATAATTTAGTTCAATAAAAATAATCTAAAATCCGGAATTTTTCTGGAAAAATCGGAAGAGTTGGCAACACTGAAGTTCCACCAGAAAATCCGATTTCATATTACTGTATTAATGTTGAAAAACTAGCACAAGTAACACAAGGATTTAATTATGTGTCATGCCAATATGTTTTTTTATTGATAGATATCGATCAATTTTCATTTCTTAACTATATATATATTTATCTAACGCAGATTTATCAGTCGCTCAAATTTCTGATCATGTCTTTGTTCTAGCTACATACTGTGGTATTGCTGCTCTCTGATTTCTAATAAATATCTATATGGTGATTTGATATTCATTTAAATTACTAAAGTCTATATAAGACTAAAGAAACAAATGCACTTCCTATCGAATAGGTGTGTAACATAAGAGAACTGTCTTGAAAACGACTGAGTGTATCAAATGTGTTTGTACATCTATAATCTTTTCTTTTTTATTTATTATGATTTCAGTTTTGTAACAAAATACATTACCAACGAAAAATGATCAAACAAAGTTTTAGTTCATCAGTACAGATAAAAGTCTTGATTAAAATATGGCTTTGATGCTAAATTAACAAATGAGAATAGCTGTTGTATAATCTATTTATTTCTTTGGAATCAGTAAACACGGTGTGCGTATCAGTGTAGATAATTAATTAATAAACATCCATCCATACCCACACCCTCAAGAATAGGTATATGGTAAAATCTAATCTCAAGTTCGAGTTTCGAAAATGTCTCTATTTATTTGAGATTTTGTATATGAGAAGAACTTCTTATCAACTCGAATATTGGAATTCACCTATAATTAAGTTGCATTTATAATATAAATTTAATTGAATGATTTGTTTTTATTGATTTTTTGATAAAATAAAAATAATAAATAATTCAAAATCGTATACCAAGATTATACACAAATCGATGAATACTTTATTTTAATTCTTTAACATAATTTAATAATTATGATAAGAAACCAACAAATGTATAAAAACTATTAGAAAATGTACTTTAAGTAGTATTTTATTTTATTAATAATAATTTCTTGAAGTATTCATGATGAAATAAGTTGATTAGAAAATAAAATTTGATATTTCAGTTTAAAAGAAAAAATAGTTCTGTCAATATCCATTAATATAATTCAGCACTATTGAGATAAATATCGCCAGTGCCTTCTCTTGAGGGTGGATGTGGGTGTGGGTTTAAGTGTGAGTTTGAATGAAGAGTACCACCCAAACCCTCCCTCATATCCACACCCGCACCCTTTGTTGAAGTACATCATACGTTTTATTTAAATATTTTTATTTCAAGATTAATTTTTCTGAATTTCTATAATATAAATAAAAGAAAAGAAAACGCTCAGTTTTATTCACTTTTGAATTTTCTTGGTTGATGTTAGTAGTTGATTCGTTCATATCTACTAAACATCAGGCGAAGCAATTGAACATGCCAGGTGATAATTAATAAAAACAATTATACCAATAGCAAAATATGTTGGTATAAACGAATAATATAAACGAATTAATAATAAGATTAATTTCATTATAAATAGAAAAAAACAAAGGGAACTCGTGCCTGTTGCTACGTAGATTGATGTAAGATGTATTTCGAAAATCTCTAATGGCATTTTAAATAAAGAACCAAGAAGAAAAGTAAATATTGTAAAACAAAACATAATCGTTTGATCAGAAAATGATTGAATGATCATGAACTTTCCATATGTTAAAATGAAAATTATTAATCCGACACAAATTGTTTCTGAAAATTTATATGTTCTAATCAATTTAGAAAAACCAATATATATATCGACAATCATCACTGAAATTATTGACACACCAAAGCATATGTTCGCAAAGATGACGCACGGAATTTTGACCCAGTTTGACAAAATGAATTTTAGCATCATTAATAAATAACAAAAATAATCACAATTTCTTTCTCCTGCTTGTTGAGCTAAGTTGATCCATTGCAAGAAATTTAGACAACTTGGTGATAAATTTTCAAAAACTAGTTCAAGATTATCATATAACTTTTCATAATATACCAATGAACTATTAGGTGTAATTCGTTCGTTATCTCGAATATGTCTTTCCATATTTCTATCAAAATCTATATTTGTATTTAACTGATCAATTTTTTGTTGATAACATTCAGTGAAATGTGCTTGAAAATCGATGTCTTCAAAAGAGTTTTTGCAAATTGTACATTTAATTGGACAAGATATGCATTGTTCTAACCTTTGTTGATGTTCAACAAGTTTTGAACGTAGAATTAATTGATTACATTTCATACATTGCTCACTTAAGTATTGACAATCAGCAGTTTCATGATGTTCTAATTGTTTATAAGGTAAGATTTGTTTGCAACCTAAGTTTTCATTTCGACAACGAATGCGTAAATATGGCAAAATGTATTGATTAAGAAATGCACATGGTTTATATTCAGATGGTTTAGAACAAAATGGACATGTGTTTCTATTCAATGGATTATTGAACCATTTTTGCATACATTTTTCGCAAAGTATTCGATGACATGATGAACATGAATGGGGTTCCCATAATAAATTCTGGCATATTTGACAAGAAAATTCCTTAAAAGTTCGATCATTGCCAACAACACGGTCTCGAGTGATACTGTTATTTTCCATTGGTGTGGATTTGCTCGATGTTTTGCTCGATGAAATTATCAGACTAATCAAAATGAATGTTCTGTGTTCGAATATTTATAGTTAGAGTAGAACAAATGTAATATTATATTATTTAGTTTGAAATATGATCTATTGACTATATATATTTGATACTTTTTTTTCTATCGTGGAAAAAACCCATTAATAATCATGTATTTACGTAAATCACTGCCGAGTATATGGGGGCGCATTTCTTTGCTCTCTTCAACAAAACAAAAATGACGACATTGTATGATTAAAGACTGAAATAATATTTTTCATAATCAACTCTCAATTAAATCCATGTATGACATCTTGATATTTATAATGTGAATCATTTCCTTTGCTCTAATAACATTTTTAATCTAATGAAATCATCAATAAACTGTTTTGATAGGTTTTATATTTCAACTTTTAAGGAAAGGTATGTGATTGGTGAAAATCGAAATCAGTAAAAGACATTCATTCATGATTCATTTTTTTAAAGGCAAAGGGTGAAGGTGTGGATGGAGAAAATAAAGACACTTTCTTCCTTCTAAAACTGATTCTTGTTTTGAGATTCTCTTATGTATTAAATAAAGAAGAGTGACGAAATCTAATCCAATTTTTTACATTAATAACATATTTGCTAATGTATGAAACCCGAAATAAAACGTCAATAAGAGCCTATAAGGCGAAATATTATAATTCGAATGACATTTAATACAATTCGAAAAATACAAAAATTTATGATACGAATAATGATATATGGATGTCCATAGTCGATGCATATAAAACGGGGTGGATATAGGTGTAACCAAGCATGTTCTGTTCTTACTCTACCCACACCCACATCCATCTTCTAATCATGAACTGAATTAATTCTAAATCAAGAATAATTTTAGTTTAAAATCGACGAAAAAACTCTTTTCGTAATCTTATATATGCTTTTAATAAAAATATCTGTGAAATGAAAAATATTTAGTTTTGTTCAAAGTATACGCATATCTATTGCAAAACAGACTGAGATTTAAGCAAATTCGAAGTTTTTCTTATCATTGTAAAGATTTCCCCAAGAAAAAAAATATTGATCAATAGATCTATAAATATGATCATAGATGTAGATGAACACAGGAAGAATAAACAACGCTATATAACTGATCGAAATATTTAATGGACTAAATCTTTCTGCCAATACAATCGATCAATTAACAATAATTTTCTTTTCGTATTGTATCAAGTTTTGATACAAGAAATTACGAAATGCACAGGCAACACATTTTATTTTTATATGTGAGCTGTCGAAAAAATTCTCTTTATGGTTTCTTCTTTTTCTTCTTTTATCTGCATAGATAAAAATCGACTTGTCGTGTAACTAAAGAGGAAAGCAAATAAACTACACATACAAAGCACAAGAGACTTTTTTCTTTATCTCTTCCGAAGAACAAAAAGGAGACAAGCTCTTTATTTTTAAATTAGCCTCACTATTACCATTGTGTAATATAACTGACTCAGTTACTTTTCTTTTGAGACGATTGTATACATTTAATCATTCTTAATACATTTAAGATGCATCGTTTTACCGATATCGAATCAACTTCAAAACAGCTGCCACCCATCTACAGCTACTTGACTCATGAATTAGTTTCTCTGTCAAAAGCTCTTGAACCGATCTCTTCGACAATTGATCAATTGGATCGTTTTATTAGAATCGCGAAAAATGAATGTCATTTTCCTTCCGAACATGGACTTACCCGTGATGAGTCAACTGCTATATATCTTTATACAATGGAGTTGGGGGAAAATAGCTTCTATCAAGGAATCAATCGTGCCCTGCGTGCTGAAGATCGGTCGTCATTAAAACCATGGTTTGCTTATCTTAAGTTATTCGATGTAGCCTTACAAAAGTTACCAAGTGCTCAAAAGAATCTATGGCATGGTGTTCCAATAGATATAACGAGCAACTTTAAGAAAGGCGACGAATTTACTTGGTGGGCCATCAATTCTTGTTCAACTTCTGATAATATTATCAAGGACCTTCTTCGACCCAATTCAACATTATTTTCAATTGAAGCAAAAAATGGAAAAGATATTTCGAGCTATGCCAATTGTCCAAATGAAAATGAAGTTATTCTTTGTCCAGGTACACGATTTCGTGTTGTTAGTGACCCTTTAGATCAATCACCGATGCATTTAATCCATTTGCAAGAAATTACTGATGACGAAGAAGAATCACTATCGACAACTATTAAAACTATAACAACGACGCCCACACCAACCACTGCATCTACTCATACGCCGATCAATATTCAAGCTTCACTGATACATATTCATATTGATCAATGGGGTAACAGATACGAAGGAGAAATGAAAGACGGGAAAAAACATGGTAAAGGCCATATAAATTTTGCAAACGGTGATAAATACATAGGTATTTGTGTCGAAGACATGAGAACAGGCCAAGGTGTCGCCATTTATGCTGCTGGTGATCGATACGAGGGACAGTTCAAAGACAACAAGAAGCATGGAAAAGGTCAAGTGGATTTTGTTAGTGGCGCTAGATACACAGGTGACTATATCAAAAGCTACAAAACAGGCCACGGTATCTACATTTTTGCTAATGGTGATCGGTGCGAGTCAAGATATTCGTAAATCATTCATATATCTGTTATAAATGGCTGAATATTACAGTAGCATTCATGCGATGTGATAATTGAATAGTTGCAGGGGCAATTCAAAGACAACAAATTTCATGGAAAAGGTAAAGTAGATTTTGCAAATGGTGATAAATACACAGGAGATTGGAGCGAAGGCAA